CTTTCAAATAAACTAAGCTAATATGCCCGAGGGGCCAAGTCAGCAGAACCTCAAGCTGATCGAAAATCCTTGGTTAAATAACAGCAGAACAAGAAAGGAAGCTTAGTTCCGGAAGCCGAAGATTGTATACCCTTCAGGCAGGGGCCGAATTTGAAATCTATCATAACTAAGCCAAAAATACATTAATTTCAATTCGGAAAACGGTTCTGTTTGAGCTTTTCTTAGTTTAAAAAAAGTGGTATGAAAAGCATTTGGTTTTGGCACATGAGAATTGGGAAAACACTTTAACTTCCCCTGAAATATCAAAGTAATATATGCTCCCAGTAAGTCCAAGTTTAAAAAAATACAAAAAGCACTTGATACTTAAACTGATTTTAATATTTGTGGCATCCCTATATATAAAACGAGGTCTTGCCTTTTACAAACTTGGCCATAAAATGCATATAACCCTTAAGTAGAGCCACCAAAAAGCCGCTTGGCAAAGGTCCTGGGTGCGTGGCATATGTGGCCTGTGCCACAAACGAGCCGCTGGATCGAGCTGCCACTAGGACAGAGAACCGGGATCGGGATCGGAATCGAGATCGGGACCAAAGAACACCCCAAAGGCACCGAATGGGGAACCGAGAGACCAATCAAGCAGCGGACCCTCGTGCCAAAGCTTCTCAGAGCCCTCGGTTGGCTCGTGTCATCTGTTGAATTATAAAATATGGCAAGGAATTAATTTGGCCAGCCCCTGCTGGCCGTCAGAATCTGGCACAGCAGCAGCAGCAGAAGGAGCAGCAGGACCAGCAGGACCAGAGCGGCAGCAGGATAACGATCCACTCCGATCCGATCCGAATCATCTACCGCTATGCGCACTGTGCTCTTATCTGGCGAGCACCTGTCGCCCCGAATCGGAGTCTGAACTCGAATTCGAATCCTGGTCCCATAACAAAACGAAAGGTGCGCTTAAATTCTCATAATGACTTGCCTCGCTCGCGTCCTTAACCTGCTGATGATGCTCCCTGATCCCTAAAAATGTTGCATCGTCGGCCGCAAATTGTTGTCCATTGTGTGTACGAGCGATCCTCCTCCTCCGTCTGCTGCCGCCTTGAAATCTGTCTATAATCTGTGTGTTTTTGGGCCCAAACTGAAAACACCTTGAGATCGGTGTCTCCGGCACTCGAGGGTCTTCCTTTGCCTTTTTGTTTTTTGCACCTTTTCTCACAAAATCCGTACAAATTTCGTGTTTAGATTTTGTCGTTTTAATTGCCCGGTCTCGGCTTTGTTTTGTTTTGGTTTGACTTGTCTCTCTGACTTTGTCTCTGTGTGGCGACTCGTTGAGCAACCCTTTTCTAAGCCCCCGGATTGGTTGGTCATCGCTCGTCCGGCCTTCTGGCTGCCAATTAAGCCGTAAGCTGTGGAAATAGATTTCCCAGCCGAGGGTTGATTTGCAAGCATATTTGACTTGGATTTGTCCTCTGAACTCAAATCGAAACAGCTTAAGATTTACTTGGAGGGTTGGAGGAGACTAATCGGCAAACTTGCAGACTAGTCGTTGACACGGCACTCTGTTGGCTTCCGATTTGGCCAGCTTGGCCTCCGTCTCGAGGCGAGGCTCCTTGGTAAGGTAGAAGGAAGTCAACGTTACTGCAATCTCAACCAGGAAAGGGAAATAAGAAACTAAAGTTGTTCCACGGAAATACCTAACAGATGTAACTATTAATATTCAGAGTCACAGAAGGACTTAAGAAGGATTCTTTTAAAAGAAATTGGAACATATATTAGATTATATTACAGAAATAATGAAGCAAAGAGACAGTTAAAGACACCCGTTTCTAATCAAAATATGACTACTGTAAGGACTTAAAAAATGACTTTACAATCGAAAGGACATCTCATATTTTTATTACACCATATGCAGCTCGTTCACCTGCCCTTGAGTGTCCATTAAAATCATATATACTTCCCTCTAAACATTCAATTCCCATTCCAGCCAGGTGACAATGCTCAATCAAACAAAGGCGAGGCAATCATAACGTATCACTCACTCTTTACGACGACGCTCCATTGAAATTGGGTCACTTTTGGCCCGGCCAACGAGTCGAACGATCTTGTAATATCGATCGAGCGTGACAGGTGCAGCGGCAGCGTTGGTTGCACCTTCGCCAGAGCCTGGCCCAGCGACAGCTTGTGGCCCGCAAGGCACTCGCAGGCAGCGCATCCCCTGGGGCCCAGATTAGATGCAGATCTCGAATGTTTCTGCGGTCGGTCTGTCTGTGCTGTCTGTCTGGGGGAGAGATTTTTACGACTGTTGCATCTTTTGGCTTCTGTCTCACTGAGAGAAATACTCTGAATTCTGCCTATGTGCAAAAATATTGATTCTATCTCAATTTAAGAACGAATTCCTTTACAATCTCTAATAAGATCTGAAAAAAGCAAGCTCAATAATATGTTTACTTGTGAATAACATGATTAATGCTAAGATATATCTAAATATATTCTTTACAATCTTCAATTTCTTTCTGTGTGCGGCTGCTGCTGCTGTTGATGATGTGTTTTGCCGGTGTCGTGTGGCCCATGTCAACTGGTTGCAGGTCGCCGTTGTAATTTGCCTCCTGGCATATGGCTTTTGCAGCAAACCGGCTTTGAGCACGCGTCTCGTCCTGGCTCAATAATTGTGCGACAGGTTCCAGGATTCCAATTCCAATTCCACCGCCAGAAGAAGCGGCAACAGCAGGTGCTCAATGCGGCTGGAGGGAATCCGGAATCAGCGCCAGGCTGCTGCTCCTTCTGCTGCTTACAACGAAAGGACATAAACATAAATGAGCCGATGTAATGTTGAGCCGCTGCTCCTTCTTGAGCCCATCCCCGATCGCCAGCCATCTCCCTCTATCTGTGCGTTACAGGTGCCTTTTCGGTTGCATCCCCTCCGCATTTTAATTGTGCGCCGAGCCGAGCCGAGAGCCGGCTTCACCTGCAGCTCAACTGACCTAAGACATCTTTTTTGCCCTTGCTCTTGGCCGGGCTCTTCACCTTTTTCTGTGTCTTGTATTTTTTTTTTTTTTAGCCGCAACTATTATTTTTATTAATAGCCAAAGTCAAAAGTCACCTGCCTGGGCACCAAGAGCTAAGGGTAGCCGGAAAACGGAACAGAACCCATCCGATCCGATTCGATTCGAACCGAGAGGAGGAGACAGGACCCCGAACCCGCAACATGCCGGGTGCTAAGGAGTGGGAGCAGCTCTTAAGACCACTTCTAAGATCAATTTCCTTCTCACATATTTTCCCCCGCACGGGTTTTCCATTGTTTGCGTTTTGGGGTTGCAGCTTTCAGAGTCTCTTGATAGCCATACTTTTTATTTTATTTTCTTTTCAGTTTTTTGTTTCCATGGGGGCTTGGCCTGCGACTGGAGAGCTAACTGTTGAATAAATTCCAAACGGCATGACAAATTATGTGGGCTCAGGTGTTATGCGGAAAAAGGGGTTAATAAACCGAGAGTCACCGCAGCGGAGAAACTCCAGCATATGGCTGCGCAGAAGTATCTGCTATATCTAATCGGGTCTGAAAAAATAGGATATATAGAATAGAATATAGATATGTAGATACATTTCAATCCCTGAAATTAATTCTAATGCAATTTATTAACAAAGTCCTTTAAAGTACTTAAAGGAACCCGTTTTAAGGATAATAATATCTTATTAGTGGCCAAAATTTGGTTTAGAATCCACTAGGAGCTCAGATATCTTACCCCTTCTATACTTTGACCTTGGAAAGGCTTATTGCCCACCTGTCAGCCTTATGCAAAAGCTGCATCTATGGCATCGGCTGATCAGACTCTACATTCTTTGAGTTTTGAGCCTCACTTTGTCGGCACTTGGCCACAAGTCCTTGAACTGCATTTTTCCTGGGCAACAATTGAACTGCATACTTGTGCCTCTCCCTTTCCTCCCTGCTGTTGTTGTTTTTTTTTTTTGTTCGTTCAATATTTTGTCAATTTCGATCAATTTGTGGCGTGCCAAAGAGCCAAGAACACAGGCCGAAGATCGGGTTTTTGGCCACAGAAAGTGGTCCCGAAGTGAAATCCTGCGGCTGGGGATCGCTGATTTCGTTGATTTCGTTGATTTCTGATTGCGGCTCAGTCGATGAATGGCGATAATGAGGGAAGTCGGTGATTTGTAAACTGCCAAACTTCATTTCGGGCGTTTTAAAGTGCCGCAAAATGCATTCGGACATTTCGATTACCGAAAATTGCGATCAGCAGCAGTCGTCGATGACCATTCCCCCTTTTCTCACTTTATTTCGCCAGCAATTAGTTCGAACTTCGAACACTTATTGGCGTTTTCCCCAAGGGGAAAGGGGAATCAGAAGGGGATGTGCTGGTGGGTTACCTGCTGTAACGCGGCGGCTTACAAAGAGCATTCCCGAGATGCCACTTTGGCCACAGATCAAAGATCACCGCGTCACCCGAAAACAGGAGCAACTTATTCCCCCGATCAATCGAGTACGTGCTGGCATTTGTCTATAAAATCAGGTTTTCGGTCAAAGTCCCCTAAAAAAAAAAAAGAAAATATTTGGAGCGCTTTGGACAATTTGTAGCAAAATTTGGGTCTTTCAAGGAGGAGGCTGTGTCCTTGATTCCCTGAGAATGTCTGATCTCAGGGAGTTAAGGGGGATGCTCGGTGGAATGAAATATTTACCCCACATAGAAGAGGTATTAGCGAAGCCAAAGATTTCTCTTTTAGGAAAAATATACAATTTTCTTAGGGGAATTGTCAAGCTGAACAAAAGTCTGTGATTTTCCATCAAGTAAAATATTCCAAGTTTGTAAACCGTTTCTTATATTATTAAGGAGAACAAAAATATTAAAAACTTTTAAACTAACTTCTAAAATATATTATTCAATTATATTCTATTTTATTTTAAACCCCAATATTTCCTATTTATCAGATAATCTCATTTCCATTTTCAGTCAATGATATCCCCCTTCAAATCCACACTTCCCAAAAACATCCATTAGTTCGTTCTCTTTTAGCTTTCAACTTTATTTTCCAAAAAATCATACGATATCTAACTAAACATAAATGCAATAAAAAATCATTGGGTAAGCTAGAAATTAAGAGTAAACTAAAAACATTCGCATATAAATGGTGTATAAATAATTGGGGGAGGATACTGAATTTGGACAAGTGGTCGCCAAGTGGTATTTCAATCGTTGGTGGTATTCTTTGGTACGTTTAGCTGCCAATTTTGGGTTAAGTTTAAACCAAATCGATACAGGTTAATGCAATAAATAAGATTACTTATCGAGCTATTTACGAGCTAATACGAAGAGTCTTGTTTCCATAACTAACCATAGGTATGTACAGGCTTACGGGCTACAGTTGAGCGGAATCCTAGTGGGAATGTGTAACAATAGAGCTTAATTCTAGGTAAATCTTTGCGGAGGCCTAAACAAAACAAACTTTGGCTTCTTAGCAGCGACTTAGACGTGGGGCCAACTGTGTGTGTATGTGTGTCTCTCTCTCGGTGTCCTTAGCTAATACTGGGATCCAAATCATCCAGATCTGGGCGGCCGCTGCCTGGGTCAGCAGCTGCTGCTGCTCACCTCCATCTTGAGGGGCATGAGGTCCTGCGGCTTGATGTCCTCCAGCGGCGCCTCCTCGTGCCGGCTCTCCCGATGGCGTCGCAGGTCCACCTTCCGCTGGAAGGACTGATCGCAGAGCCCGCAGCCGAAGGGCTTGTAGCCGGTGTGCTTCCTCATGTGCGTGATCAGGTTGGAGCTCTGGCTGAAGGCCTTCAGGCAGACGGTGCACTTGTGCGGCTTCTCGCCTGGAATCGAAGGGAAAATCAATAAACACATTACTCTTTGCTACTCGTGGTTTATTAATTGAGCTTTACAGCAATTAGACAAATTGAAAGGAGATAGAAATCTGACTCAACGCTATATATAGGCGAGGGTTGGTTCACGCTTCAGTCTTGGACATATTTACACTGTCTACATATACTCCCAGGACAGCTCTGATTTCCCCGGAAAACCCCACTCACCTGTGTGTATGTAGGTGTGCTTCTTCATGTCCGACTTCTGGTGGAACCGCTTGCCGCAGTACTGGCAGGGATACGGGCGGGTGTCGCTGTGGATGAGCAGATGCGTGGACAGGGTGGATGAACGCTTGAAGCTCTTGCCACACTGTTTGCACTGTAAAAAAAAAAGAATAGAAAGAAAGAAGAATTGAATTAAAATACAAATTCTATGCCGGCGATTCACGGTAATGCCCGAAATGCCCCATATTTGAACAGCCTGTGCGTAGCCCCAAAAAAGCCGAGCAAAATCTGAAAAGAATGGCTTCAGCAATAGCCATACTATATATATAGACACACTCGCTGTGTGTGTGCCTGAGCCAAATTCTCAGTGGCAACATGATTTAAACTAGATTTGTGAGTGTTCAAATATTTGTCAGACAGGTGACGACAACAACCCCTCGGCCGAGGGAAAACCCAAAGCCAAAGGTAAGCCCCACTATATTCGCTTATTTTTTTCGCGGAGAAACAGCTAAGCAAATAGGGGGCTGTCTCCTCGGCCCAATGCTAAATCTCAAGTGAAACACTTTCCAGCCAGGAGTATATATGTATACTCGTCGTGTATTTGTGGGCCAAACACAGCTGGGACCCCATCGAATCGATCGCGGATTGGGCGATGTGGATACCGAGATGGAGATCCACGGGGCTGGCTGTAACATCTTCGGCTGTCGGTTGTCAGATTAAATGTTTAAACAGTTTGCGTGTTGCAGCAACATGCAAGCAGCAGGCAGCCAAGTAACCAAACATTGACACTCGGCCAGCTCACAAAGCCACTCAAATCGCTGGGACAAGTCAGCCAGCTCCGGCCTACGTGGGCGACATTTATTAAAAATATACCCAGCTACCCAGCACGAAAACGAAAAATGGGTAAAAGTGAGACAGTTTTTGTTGTTTCCCTCGAAAACCCAGCGTAATTTACAAATTGACACAAGTGTATCTGTATCTTTCTCCCTTATTGATTTTAATTTATATTTTTCCCCTCGTTGTTTTTGGGAGTTTCTATTTGCGCATTGCATTCGGAGTGGACCATATCCATGTCTCCACTGGCTAGACTCGGAGACCCAATTAGTTGCTCTATTGTTAAGCTGCGCTCGCGGCCTGAGCCGTAATGTCAATTTGCTTAGCTTCGACAACGGAACGGAAGTTGGCAAAACTCGAAAAAGCGCAAAAAAAAAGAGAGGAAAAAACAAGCGAAGGAGAAACCCCAAAGTCTGAGTCAGCCGGGTGGGCCTCCTACATGGAACAGATGTAAAGCACGCATTACAGAAAAAAAAAACTCCAAGAAAGAGTGCCCGCGCCTGCGCCAATGACTCCGGCAACTGTCTTCTCCCGTTGGCCATATGGCGGCCAGGTCCTGCAGCCTGGAAACCTATCGCATTTCACTGACCCTCGGCGAATGTGTGAAAAAAAAACGAAGGAATACGAGGACTCGCGGCGGGTGTTGATGGATATAAACTCAATATGACATCGGGGGTAGGCATAAGGTCCGACCCCGACCCCAGGCGAAGCCTTCTCGGGTTCCTCGGGGTCGTGTGCCTGCTCGATGGGACAACAATTTAATATCGAAATGACAATTATGATTGTAATTCGTACATAAATCTTCCCGACCCCCTCCACTCGCGCTAATCAAAATTATTTGATTAACTAATTGCGTGATTTCGATGGGACTTAATTGAATTTCCATAAGGCTCTATCTGCTCGGGTTGTATTACCAATTTTATGACAGTATTTGCTGTGCCACTTTTCCAAATTGAAAGTGGGCAGAGGGCAGCAAGGACAATTAAAACGCTTCGAGGACAAAATATGAAACAATTAACACAGGGGAATTGCCGTGGACACGCAATGCTTATGCAATGGAAATATCTAACAGCGAGGCCCCGTACACGTGATAAACCCATTAGATTAGGTCCTGCGAGAGTTCAGAGATTTTTCAAGCGATTTGCCCTCGATTTTCCCTGTTTTTTTTTTTTACCCCTGCATCAATATCCTGTTCGGGACTGCTTACCTGGAAGTTCCTGCCGCTGCGCTTCTCCTCGCCTTCGCCTTGGTACGAAGAGGAGCTGGACGAGCGACGCGCAACATCTGTGGCCGTCGAGTCAGGATGTTGCTGCTGGTGATGCTGCTGCTGCTGATGATGATGCAACTGCTGCTGCTGCTGCTGCGTCGGCTGTTGGTGTTGATTACGCATGTAGCCGAACTCGGCGGCGGCCACCAAGCCCATAAGAGCGGCTGCCGAGCGATTCTCCTGCTGCTCATCCTTGATGTCCTTGATGCGATGGGGCTGCTGTTGCTGCTGTTGTTGCTGCTGAGACTTGAGGTGCTGGGTGAGCAGCTCCAGGTTGTTGCCCGTCAGTCCCGCCATGAAGGCACTGCGGTGGGCATACAACTGCTGCTGGGCCACATCGAACTCCAGGTCACGGACGGGATTCGTTGACGGAGCGGACAGCGAGGAGATCGGTGACTGCAGCGAGGATATGGAGGCTGTTCGGCGCTCGTACTTGAACTTCCTCACTATGGGATCCACCTGGTGCTCCTCCTCCTCTTCCTCGTCCTCCATTTTCAGGGCATACTGCTCCCGGCGTGCTGATCTTTCGCACATCGAGGCCGGCGACCAGATGATGTTGCCCTGCGATCGCTGGCGCTGCTGCTGTGGGGTTCCGGAACCGGAGCTCTTTAGATTAACGGCCCTCAGTGGCGGTGGGGTCACGTTGAGAGCTTGCATCGGATGCAGGGGCTCCACCTCGCCGCTGCTGGAGCTGCTACGGCTGCTGTTGTGGCTGCTGCTGTTGCTGCTGCTGCGGTTGTGGTACTGCTCCTGGTCGCTTAGATCCGACTTGATGCGCTGCTTGGTGCTCAAGTTCAGAGGCATATCCTCGTCCTGCTCCTCCTGCCTGGCCAATTCGCTGCTGTGCTGCTGGCTGATATGGAGCTCGTGCTCTTTTTCGGGGGTCAGGGCGTAGTCACGATCCCGCTGTCCCAGCACCACGGAGGCTGGTGACTTGGGGGTCATGGGTGTGAGTGGAGTGCCAAGAGCCGTGGCCGAGGACAGCAGGAACTGGGGCCAGAGCAGGGCACTGGAGTAGAGCAGCGGGTTGTACAGAAAGGGAAGATCTGGGAGGGGATATATTTATGGTAGGGCTTTTAGTTGGATTTTTAACAAAGGAATTGAAGGGTGTTCTTACTTTTAAGAACTATCTAGGGGTCTAGGATTTGTTTCTAATATTTTAAATAAAATATTTATATGACTTTTTTGTATGTTTAAATATGGTTTAATTTCTAACAACTTCGCTTTATCTATCTAAGCTTTTAATAAGACATAGACAAGGTTTTTTATAGAGAAGGTCCTTAAGACCATCATAAGCTTTAATTGAACAAAATTCCTTATTATTCATAAGGAATTTCTATTATTTTGTTTCTTTCTTTAATTTCTAAATATTTTTTCTGACTTAGAAATCCGTGAAACAACGATTCTATCAATCTATCTATATAAATATCTATCTAATCATTCTCTAATCAATTCCTTACTAAACCTCATCCTTCTCTTAGATCAATCTCCAGCTCTAAAACTCACCTCTTCCGTTCAATTTCTGGGCGGCGGCGGAGGCGATCACGGTATTGAAGGCGGATGCCCGCTGCATCCACTGCTTGTCGAGGGCGGCTCCATTGTAGGCTGGACTCGGCTGCTGCGAGTGCGGCGATGGGGGCGGCGATAGGTGATTCATATTGATCTCTCGGTATTCACTTGGCTTATAGTTTGCCTTTAACTCTTTCTTCTACTTTCCGGGCTGAGGGATATATCGATCCTCAGTTTTCACTTTGCACACAAATCTCACTTTCGATCGCAGAGATCTTGGTTGACTTTTAAATTCGGCTGTGCGGGATTCTTGGCTCACTGGAGGCGAACACGTCCGTATCGCTCGGTGCTTCGCACCTGACTGAATCTTTGGCCGATTGCTCGGTTCTAAATTGAGCCAACGGTGAAGCGACTTGGCCCGAAAAAAAGGTACAAATCGAGCTCTGTTGTGTGTGTGGCTGAGTGTGCCTCAGTGTGACTGTGTGGCAGCAAGCCGAATCAAAACGAGCCCTCGCTGTGTTGGTGTTGGCTCTTTTGGTGGTGGCTCTGGCCCTTGGCTGTGTGTGTGTGTGTGTTGCCAACTCTGGTTTTTCACCTTTGGCGGCAGTTGGCGGCTGTTGCAGTTGCTGCTGATGTTGCTCTCGCCGTTGCTGCCTCTGCCGCTGCTGTTGTCCTGCATGTTGTAAGGGTCAAGACGCACAGTTAGGAGTAGCGCTGTGCTCCTTCGTGCCCTCCAACCCTCCTCCACTGCATCGTTCTGATACCGATCGTGAGCTCTCCCGCTCCTGGCTTCTGGCTCTGTTGTTTGGCAGCACGCGTTTCCCTACTAATTGGTATGCAGTTCGACTTTGGCGGGCGTTCGTTGTTGTCCTTTTCCCGCTGCCGTGTAACTGTTACAATTGCTGTTGGCTGTTGCCGTTGTTGCTGCTGCCACCAACTGTTGTTGGCTTGGGAATACTGCGAGGTAGAGGTACGGATAAAGGATCGAGGCTGGTGGATGGAGGCGGCAACCGGGAGGGGTGACTTACAAATATTTATGTGGATGGATCTGCGCATCTAACAGCTGTCGCGGCCACTCGAAATGAGTGCGTATTTTGGGAATTGTTTTAGATTATGCCACGATTGCTTTTAGATTTGGCCAAGATTCTAAATAGACACTTTTTGTGTTTTTTGTTTTAAATTTATTTAAGTTTTTTTTCATTATTAGAAATAGGTGTAAACTCTAAAAATTCGAAAAGGCCATAAAGTCAATGTAACAAGAATTTGTTATTAGATCTAAGGTTGCAGTTGCGATTTATCGGTAAGTTAGTTTACTTTTTATACCTTTTAAATGCGTATTGCATTTTTTAGAAAATACTTCAAATTTTAAGGAGAAGGCATAAATTTGTAAACCTTTAATTTCCACCTAAATGTTATTTATGAGTATTGTTTTAAGGCATGATTATCGAGATGATCAAAAAAAAAAATGATTGCCAAATGTCATATACATTCCAATACGTTATTAAAATACTAATGCGTTAATAGCAAATTATTGTAAAAATTTAGTTTATTTTTCAAAGTTCTAAGAAGCTAATTCCATAAAATTTGTCAAAAAATAACAAACATTTGAAACGTTAAATTCAGCATCTGTCTATTACCCTAATCAAAATTAGCGCAGAAAGCAATACGATTTCAAAATATTTACATTTTTGGCTTGGCTATTGATTTTTTATAGAATTTGATTTCCAAACTAAAAGTATAACGATATATATTCATTTTAAGTACCTGGAATGTGCATATTTTAGATCTTTTAAAGGGTGTTGATGGCCAATAACTTATGATTGCCAAAAGGCACATATATTTTGATTCCTTAGAGCAAGCAATATATATAAAAATATAAGTTTTCATCTAAAAGAGTTCGAGTTTTATTCCACTTGTTAACCAATTTAACAATGGGCTGAATGTAAATTATATTATCGTATTTCGAAATATTAGACTATGTTAATTCGCGAAATTTCTTCCTATTAAACAACTATATTATTTTGAAATATATTTTTTAATGATTTTTTCCCATAGTTAAGGACTCAATCATTTATATTTCCTTTCACAAATGCAATTAAAAACACTATAAGCAATGTAGACTTTACATTCTCGTTGAATCCTTTACATTAAAATACTCTCAAGAGACCAGCACCTGCCACTTTCTCCCTCCCTGGCTAGCTGCACCTTTTCCCAGCCCGAGCTTATCCTTCTTCGGTCGGGATCCTCCTTCGCCACGCTTGGCCACCTCGTCCTGGCCGCCACGATACCAGTTTATCTAAGAGTATCCTTGGCTCGGGGCACACCTGCCTAGAAAACGAGTCAAGAAGAAGACACGGCGGCGGGCGCGCACTTCCACATTTAACGATCCTTTTCCTTCGGTGGCGTCGGCAATTTTTCTCAATCCCCTTTCCTCTGTTTTTTTTTTTTTTTTGGCGCAATTTCCTTGAAAGGACATGTGCCACGTTGAGGCGACACCGACATTCCAATGGACACGAGTCCGCCACGGGCTGCCGCTGCCTATCTAGCGAAGCGTGCTACGTAGCTACGAGGCCTGAAAAGCGGGCCAAAATGGGGGAATTTCGACTGCGATGAGGGCCGGCTCAAGTCGGTGGCATCGTTGCGCTTGGCAGCGTTTCTCTCCTCCTCCGTGGCTAAGGGCGCGTGCCTCTGCCCCTCCGACTCACTCCCGCAACCCCTATGGCTGTGTAACGGATTCACCTTATGCCGCTCACATCTATCATCGTCCGATATGCGCAGTCGAGGCGGAATTCACTCAGAAAAAGAGTATTTGCGTTTGTTTTTGATTTTGATTAAGGGAAATCATGACTAATTTAAAAGTTTTTTTTTTAATATTTTCGAGTTTTATGAATATGAATCCCAATTATTTATAGAGTCTTAAGGGATTCAGGTTCCAGAAATAGTTACAATATATAAATATATTATTTATCCCTTTAGATTACCTTTAATATAATTTCTATATATAATGTTCCTATTTTTATAATTGATTAAAAAGAAAGATTCCTTTAAAAATACATACATTTATTTTAAAGTCATACTTCTTGCGTAAACTTAAGACCACTTTCCAGGAAACTAATGATATTAGGATAATTCTTATCCCTAGATTTTTCTATATTTATTTTTCTGAGTGCAATGCAGCACGGTAAAAAAACAGTGCAGCAGTCGTAAATAATTTCCCTCTTCTTTTTTTTCGAATCGGCGACATTTTATTTACGACACCCTCCGATTCCAAGATCCCCTGTGTTGTGTTTGTGTTCCCGCCTGGCCAAATCGCATTCGGAAATGCCGCTGCACTTGGCCTCTTGGCTCGTGGCTCGTGGCTCTCGGCCCGCCAATCGCTGATTGGCCAAAGCGGCTGAGAGGGCGGGTAACACACACACAGACGAGTGTGTGCGCACACACGGAACGGGTTTACCTGCGAGGTGAGGTTTACCTCAGGTGAGGTGAGTTTGCTGCTAGCTTGGGAGGAGGTTGTGTGGGCTGCGTGGACCGTTAGAAGTTGGATTGGCTGAATGGAGACTCAAGTGATGAATGGTCCAGGGGCTTTGGTGAATGGTTGGAGATCATCTTTTGATTCAATCCGATTGAGAATTTCTGTAATTTAGAAATTTTAGATACTTTAAAACTTCTGTTTTTAAATAAGAAAACTATTCTACATATTATGAAGGAAAGGAAGAATTTATTTACTAAAGGAAAGTGTTAAAATATTTAAATAAAAAACTCAAAAATGTATATATTATTTCCTTAGAAAAATAATAGGAAAAAATAATAGGTATTTCTCTTCAAAATTAGGTTATTAAAACCTTAAATATTTGACGAGTTGCTGTTCTTTTGGCGATATCCTAGATTTATTCTAGACAATAATTATAAAGAATAATTGAATTAATAAACAAATATTCATATTTTCTTACAATGCACCTGATTTTGTATATATATTAAGCTTATTATTTGTTCAGCTATTTTCTAAATAAACTTACAGAAATAACTTGACTCAAGCTCAAAAGATACAAGTTCCTTGAATATTTGTTACCAATTGATTTACCAAAACAACTTTGGTTACCCCGCTGCTGAGATTCCAGGCTCCAGACTCCGCTCTCCTCCCACGGCCCAGCCTCGCCACCGATCCTTGCTGATTTATCGTACTATCTGCCGACATCGTTTAAGGCACCGAGAGACCATTTAAGTATTCTCTATTTGTCTCACAGTGGGTGCTGGTCAGGGGGCTGCTTCTGCTGTTGCTGCTGGAAAATTCCTTACAACAAATCAGACGGAAATCTGTAATAAATTTATTATTATGTAGCCTGGCCATGCGGATTATAATTGTCTTGGCAACAAATGGAGGCCGGAACGGTGCCCATGGCGAGGCGACATTGGCCACTGCCCGGCTACTGGTTATGAGCACAAGCACCAGGAGGATTCGGACTCGGAGTAGGAGTAGGAGTCGTCGCTGTCGTCGGTTCATATCGTGCAGATTGTTGGCAATTATTAAAATGATAATTGCACAAATCTGGCTATCAATTGACGACCATCGAAGACCTTAGGCCAGCCAGCCGACCGACCGACCGACCGACCATCGGCCAAAACGAGCGAAAGCCGCGCACAGCAGCAAAGCCCCCGGGTGCAGACGCATGCGCAGATGCCAGTTCCCAGTTGCCAACTCCAGCTCTTGGCCAGGTCTTGCTCTTGGCTCTCGGTTTGTTGCCCATTTACTGGGCCTCTTATCATGCGGCGTTGGAGCGCTGTGCGGCTTTTCGCCAGCGTTGACAATTTGGTATTAATTTAAGACAACAACAGCGGACCAGGCCCAGTCCGGGGCAACAGTTGGCCACTTGGGCCACTGCCACGGTTGGCCAGCAAAACAAAAGACGGACATTTACATGCTGCCAACGAGGCTAACAATGAAATCTGCGTAGTTTGTTTTGACCCAAAGCGGCAGGGGGATAACCAGCTTAGTCAGAGTGGTGAGGTGGGACCAGAGTTGGAAATTGTTATAAGAAAAAGTGATTTAATAAACCCTATGATGAAGAATTAAGTTGGAGAATAAAGACAGGGTTAAACTCGGAACATAAAAATATCTAAACTAATAGAATCCTTCACAGCCTCATAATTTTTTAATAAAATATGATGTGACGAATTATAAGATTTTCTATTTCTATTTATTCAAGCATTTCCTTTATAAGTAATTTGTTTTTATAAATATATTTTATTAAAAGGAAAAGATGTTTTTCTCGGTCACACTGCATAGCTTTTCTCGGCTTCGCTCTGCTTAGCTTTGCTTAGTTTTCCTTTGTTTTTGGGCCAACTTTTGTCCCTCTGCTGCGTCTGCGCACAATTATAAAACAAAATTGATAAAATTATTGTTGCTGTTGCTGCTGCTGTGGGCCAG